TGTTTTGTTGCTGGATTCTGGAAAGTTTTGTAATTTTAAATTGGCTAAAAAATTAATATTAAAGATTGCTATAATTATAATTTAAAGATTAAAAAGATTAAATACATAAATATTTATGAAAAAATTCTTCTTTTTGATATGATATATAAGATGTTTATAGAAGTTATAGAGTTATAGAGTTTTAATGCGGAAATTTAATGTTAAATTTAAAAAAGTTTTATAATTTTTAAATTCTTAAATAATTAAATGTAATATTGAAAATTGATGTAATTATTATTTAAATATTAGAAAGATTAATATGTAGATAAATATATAAACGAATGGTGAGAATTTTAAAATAACTAATATTAACATTAGAATAATTAAAAACTTAAGTTATAAATTTTTGCAAAAGATTTTTCTTTTTGATATCATTGTGAGAGATTTGTAGAAGATAAATATTCTTATACTGAAATTTGATTTCAGATTTTGCAAAATTATAATTTTGAAGCAGTTAAAAATAATATTAAAAATTTACAAACCTAAGAAATCATAATTTTTTAAAAATATAAATTAAAAATATATTTCTTATAAATAATCGTAATTTTATTATAAAAAAATTTTGAAATTGAAAATATTGAAATTTTTCAAATTTTTTCGGAAGAAAAACATAAAAAGAAAAATGTTCATTTATAGTGCTTATTAAATATTGATAAAAGAGAAAGGAATGTAAAGTTTTTATGAATTTTTTGGGAATTTTGGGAATCTTATTATTGAAAATTTTTTCTTTTTATATTTTTTTTATATTAATAGATAATTAATAAATATATAATATAAAATAACATAATAAATTATATTAATAGATAATATATCTATTATTAACTCTTTGTGGTATTTTTGGATTTATTTAAACATAAGCAAAATTTTATTTTTAAATATTTTAATTATAATTTCTTTTATTAAAAATTAATCTAAAAACATATGATATAGTGAAATAACTATATCAGTATAAATAATTAGTATTAATTTAATGATTTAATTTAGAATTAAATTAATAATTTAGTAATTTTTTGAAAATTTAAAAAAAATTAAAATGATAAACTGATAAAATGAATTTATACGTATAATAATATTAATAAACAATTTTATTAACTTCTAAAAAAAATTTAAATTAAATTAAACAAATTATAATATTTGATAAATGTAAATTAGAATTAAAATTTTTTAATTCTTATTTTTTTAATTTATTACCTTAAAATAAAAACTGTGACGTAAAAGTATATTGATCAAATACATTTTACATCTACTAAAATACAAAATTATATTAAACAGAAAAATATTTAAATGAGCTTATATGCAATTAATAATATTAACAATAATATTATTAGTAATATTATAATAAATTAATTAATTTATGTTATTAAATTATTTTAATTTATTATTATTTATAATTGTAATTAACAATATTATTATTATATACAATGTCATTGATTGTGTATGAGCTATTTAATATACGAAAATAATTTTTCGAAATATAAAATTTAGAAGTAATATGAAAATTACGGATATTCCTGCAAATTGAAATTTTTATAAACATAATTAAAAGATAGAATTTAAATAGAATTTTTTTTCAACTCTCTAAATATGATAACTATTTTATATTGAATATTTTATCTTTTCACGTATAATGCACATTTTATATTCACTGATATGTATAAAATATACGCGAGATGAAAAGAACAAAATATTACCCAAAATGAATTTTGGCTTTCGTAAATGAAATTTTTTTTTAAATTTAAAAACTCTTTTAATATGTTTTATTTTAATTATAAAAAAATAATAAATTATATTAAATTGTATGTACAGATAAAAATTATTAATCGGAATAAAAATAAAAATATAAAAAAATTTTTTTCTTTCATTAGATATGTTTGATCAACTATCTGGGATTATTTTTCTATATTTTTACTTTCAAATAAAAAATTTTTTTCAATATTTTATTAATATTCTTTTTAAATAGTTTTTAATGTAGATTTTTTATCGAAAAATTTTTTATTTTCTCAGTAAATTTACATTTATTTTTTTCTTTTTATATATTATTTTATTTATTATTTTATATATATTTTATATATTTATATATTATCCATTTTTACAATCTTTTTTATTTTTATACATATAATATAACAATATATTATATTATTATATTATTATATATTATTATATTATATTATTATATTATTATATATTATATTATATTATATATATATAAAACAATATAATTTCTCTTCATAGAAATAAAAAATATGTAATGTAATATAGTTTTACTTATTCAATTATTATCATTAAAATGAAAATTATTTTTTCATAAAAATGAAAAAATATTTCGATGATATAATTAAAAGTTGAAAAATACAAAAAAGTGGCACAAATGCATTTTCCTCTCAAAAAAAAAAAAAAATATTGATAGAGATAAGAATTGTATTATAAATTTAAAAATTGTTAATTATATTATTCGTATTTTTATATTATTAATTATATTATAAATTTTCAAATTTTGATATATCATCTTTTGATTATTTTTTATAAAAAAATTGATAATTAATATTCTAATTAATTATTAAATTTACATTCGCTATCATGTTCAGTTAAAAAAAGAACTTCTCCTTTTGTTCCAACTTATCATTTTCCAGATAAACACTGATCCAATATATTACAAACATCATATATATCGAAAACCAAAGAATAAAATTTTATATATAATAGATTATATATAAAATAATTTTTTAGCAGAATATCACTAAAAGAAATCAATACCTAAAATTTTAAAATGTTTTTTCATTTTTTAAACATAATTTTATTATAATGGAATAGCACAAAATTTTAAATTACAAAATTAATAGAATTCTCTATTATTCTGTTATAAAATAATTCTAAATTGTATTAAAAATTGATGAAATTCAAAAGATAAAAACATGAAACTATTAACTGTTAAAAAAAGTATAAAACTTGTTAAAATTTCAAATAAAACTATTTTAACTAATAATTTTATTCGAAATGCTTGAATAACTGCAGTTAATGCATTAAGAGTGGCTAACTATAACACTAACGAATAAAAATTAGTTACTATAACTATCACTTCAATTTAACTTCTTGAAGAATTGAAATATGTTATCGAATAAATCAGAAATAAAAAATTTTATACATCATAAATAATAAATAAAATTAATATTTTAATATTACATAATTATATCAAATAACCACAATAATAATTTAAATAATAATAATTTTTTAATTATATTACATTTTAATATTTTAATCGTAAATATGAAATAATTTCATATTTATTTGTATAAAAAATATTTGAATTTTAAAAATAATTTATTTCTTATTTTTTGCAGATAAAATTAAATTATTTAAAAATAAATTTGAATTTAGATAGAAAATAATAAATATTTTAAAGTTTTTTTGCTTGCTGCATTTTGTGGCAAAGGAGTTCCAATTAAGACGAGAAAAAATATAAAAATAAAAATAAGTAATTTAAAAATTTTATTAATAATATTAGGAAGGATTAAACAAAAATTAATGTTCATCTTACATGTTTACATTTATACGTATATATATTTATATTTTTGAAAATGTTTAAAAATTTTATCTATTATTTGTTTTTCATCTAAATCCAAATAAAAAAAATAATAATTATTTAAAATAGAAAGATCTTTACCGATTTTTATGATTTTGTTATATTTTGTAAGAATATTTTGATATATTTTGAACAAGTTTTTGCATTATCGTTGTTTAGGTTTAATTTTCGAGATATTTGCAACCATTATTATATATTAAAAAATATCTAATTTAGAAATAAAATATTTTTTTTATCATTTATGAAAATTTATTACTTTTGATTTATTTAATATCTTTAATGAAATAAAGTTAAAATAACAATTGCATTAATTTTTATTAATTTTTATTTGTAACTAATTGACTGCTATTTGAATAATTATTGATGTTTAATTAACTGCGGTTTTTCGAGTATTTCGAATAATGTTATTAAGTAAAGTCTTTTTTGCAAATATCAAAAATTAAAGCTGAATAACACGTGCAAAGGAAAAAGTTGTTCAAAATATTAATTTTTACAATATATTCAAAAATTATCAAAAGCGGTAAAAATCTGTTTATTTCGAATAATTATCAAAGTAATATTGCATATAAAAAAATAAAAAATAGATTATTTTTGAAATTACTTAAATAATATTTATGTAAATAAAAATTAGCTTCTTCATATATTTGTAATCAAAATATTATTCGTTATATTTCATTCGTTATTTAAATAAGAAATTTGATCAAAACTCTTGTTTTGATCAAAAGAGACGATCGATATTATACAATAATTTCAAGACAAGAGAAATTATTTATTTTTCATTATTTGAAAAAAGAAGAAGTAAATTATTTTTGGAAATATTTAAATGATTTTTATATAAATAAAAATTATTAATTATTAATAATTAATACAAATAAAATATTACTTCTATCATTTATGACGTACATAAAAACTTCTTGCTTCTGACTTATTCGAAGTCTTCGATAAAATTAAGTTAAAACAACAGCTGCGATAACTAAGTTTTATTCGTAGTTATAATTGGCCGTCGAATAACCTCGATTAGTTACCACTCGGCGTTACAGTTAACTACGTTTATTTGATACTTCGAATAACAACTAACAAATTGAACTAACTTTATTTTTCATGTCAATCGTTAAAATTTTGCTCATCTATAATTAAAACATTAAATATTAATTTGATCCTTTAAAACAATTTTTTGTCAATAATAAAATTGCTTATTCTCTATATACATAAATTTTCAATAAAAACAGAATATTTGAATTAGATGAATCTATTTCTAAGATAAATCATGTACGAAAACTTTCATTTTTTACTGTATGTATACACATCATGTTACAAATCATTCCTTTTTTTTTATCACAAAAATGGCATATATTAACGAGAGATCATGACCTATTTCCAGGGTGTCACCGCGCTTCACATCGCCGTCCATGATAGAAACCTACCGATGGTCGAGTACCTTTTGACCCATCCTTACATCGATCCGGGCGATGCACATTTACACGCTATCAGAGATGGCGAGATAAGGATCACGCAGGTTATTTTGAATAAACTGAACCAACTGTCTCCGGGATTGGAGTACGCAGGGGTGACCCAAAGTGCCGATTTTCCGGACGAAACAACTCCACTCACGGTAGCGGCGCAATATGGGCAGTTCGAGATGATCAATTTCCTCCGGAATAGACTACATATGCTCCCAAAACCCCATCCGCCTAGTTGCAATTGCGAAACGTGCAAGTACGGGCTTTTTTTGTTAACTTTTATCTAGTGTGACAAAGATTATATAGTAGTAGTAGACGCTATGTCCAATCTGAACGAATAATGATTTCATTTCATTGAATCTTGTGTTTGGATTATGATTGATTATCACTGATGTTTCAATATCAGTTTTAATAATTACATATGTTTTGAAATATGTTACAGAAGGTGAGATAATCTTTTTTATATTTTTTATACAGATTGTTTCAAGAAAAAGATGGCTAACCTTTGATATCGTATTCTAAAATTATTCTAAAGGATGATGGAAAAATATTATATAAATATAGATCTTTGCTTTTCGAGATGTATAGACATTTTCTTATTATGATGGAGTTTTGTAGGAATTTTTTAAAGAATTTATTTAAAGAAATTGCTGAAAATGATTTCCTTCTGAAACAATATAGTATGTCTCGTATTTTAGAAATTGTTCAAAAATTTTTGATATATTTTACGATAATTCGATTTTTAAGTGTTTTCGCGCTGTCAATATATATTGTTGTTTTAACTACTATATTATATACGCTATATTTTTAAGATGTCTCTCATAAATAAAAATCCAAAAAATTTAAATCAAAAAAATGTACAAATTAGATAATTATTCTTCTTTTGTCGATCTAATATAATTCCTATTTAATATATTCCTATTTCTATAATTGAAATGTTTATATTTTAAAAAAGAAAAATTTTCGAATCTATATTTATTTAACATTTTCTTCATCTTTATGAACAGAATACTATTTGACAATTTTTTTGATATCTTGTAAGGACCGCTTGATTATAGTTTTCGAAATATTTGCAAAAAAAAATTGTTAATATTATTAGATCTGTAGAACGTTTAAACTTTTTATGAATACTAATTGTAAATGTGATAATATAAGTTTACCCGATAAATAAGAGTAATAATCTTTTTTTGCAAATATTTCGAAAAATATAGCCGAGCGGTTCTTATACAAAGAAAATTGCCAAATTTTGGTATTCTATAAGGATAAAAGTAAGCATAAAAAAAATATTAAATCTCGAAAATGAATATTTCAAAAACTATATGGCTAAAAAGCTCTTATATATATATATATATGTTTGTGTATAAGAAAAAATTGTTCAAAATTTCCTCTATAAGATATTTGCAAATCATTGAATTCAAATGTGTCTATAAAGAGTACTCTAAAATGAAAATTACATTGTTGATTTCTTGATTGTATATATTCAATCTCGATTTATACAAAAACTTAAAATTTAAATAAGGAATATAAAATTTTAATCATAATCATAAAATTTTATTGTAAATTTTTTAGTTATTTTCATATAGAGTAACCATTTATCAATAGTCCATTTCAATCAGAAAATAATTAATTTTACTTGTATTTGAAAAAAGTTTAAACTTGATTTTCTTGAAAACAATTTTCAAAATTTTATTTCATATTTTCATATCTTATCTTTTTATGTAGAATTATTCTCTCAAATGTTATATCATTATTTGTAGAACATCTTATATAATGTTTTATTTTTATTCATTTTAATTTGACGTTAATCCATTGTTATTTCAAAAAATTATAAGATTTTATTTCGTTTGTATAATAGTATTAGAAATAATTGTTTATTAAAACTATCGCTATATATGAATTGTAACAATATAAAATGTAAAAAAATACAATAAATATTTACATTAAAAATTTACATTAAGAAAAGTTAAGATATATATTGTAAAAAATATTCTCAAAAAAACCTTAAAGAAGTTACGCTTATTAATTATTAATTATTAAAAAATCTAAAAAGTTTTTTATGCGAATTTCTAATATATTAAAAACACAAAAAAGAATATTTATATTATTTTTCTTAATTAATCTTATAATTAATCATGCCATAAATATTAATGATTACAATTAGAAATAATTAAATTAACGGTACAAAAAATTGAAATATATCCACAATTATTATGTGTCATTACACGAATAATCTAACCTAAATCTTATCCTATCCAACTATTATTAAGATATTCGTTTGAAAAATTCGATTTTTAATGATTAATAACTTTTTATTAACGAAACAAATTTTTTGAAGATTATTCAAGAAAGTATCCTTGATATTATATGTATATATCAAAATAAAAATCATCGAAACAGTTTCTCTTAATGTAAATATAGATAGATAAAATAGCTACAATGCACTTATCCACACATGCTATACAATGTAGAATTTTTCGTTCAAATGCATTAAGTATACACAATAAGTTAAAAACTGTGAAAAAATGTATTTCCGCCTCTTATTGCAATTCTTAATTGAATTGAATATGAATGTAATGAAAATCAATTTAACTAACGATATTTTCGTTCGATAGCGCAGAAGCGAACGAGAAAAATACGATCTGCTCACCACCGAGAAAATGCGAATATTTATATATAAAGCTGTCACGAACCCGGCGTTCATTTGTCAAACCGTCGACGACCCAATTTTGGAAGCGTTCAATTTGTCTTACGAACTACGAAATGCTGCCGATTTCGACAGAGAATTTTATTACGAGTATAGAAGTCTCTCCGAGGTCTTTCTTCCCTCTTTTCACTTATATCTTCACTGAATCAATCAAGACCATCTGCCATCTTAACGTTTCATTTCGTTTATAGGCTGTCTCGCAATTCGCAACCGATTTGATCGGTTGCGCAAGAACTGTGGAGGAGGTGGAAGAAATTTTGAAACAATCCACTGGATTCGCTCTTTCGTCCAAATTTCTATATCCAAGGCTGCTGTTCGCTTTGCATAACAAGCAGAGATCCTTTGTCGCCCATCCCAATATACAACAGGTCGTAAAGAAGATGAATAATTTATTATTATAGAAAGAGATTGTTATATATTCTCTTATTTGTAAATATATAATAATTATTATACAAAGTAGTATACATATATTTAGATATTTTTGTTGACAAAGAATGAAATCAAATTCAATATAATATTTATAAATCTCAGTCAATTCCAATTTCTCGAATTTTGAATATTATTCAAAGGCAATTATTTATTTCGATGATTATATGGAGGATACAAAAGTCAATCAATATCAAGACACATTCTCTGAAAATGACTTGCATAATTCATTAGAAAAATTTCTTTATTGCTAAAATTTTCAGTTGATAAATCAGCTAAGTAAGTAATTTTTCAATAATTTAATATTGATTTAATTGATTTGTTTAAATTTGAAAATTTAAAAAGATTTTTAATACTAAAAAATGATAAAAAGATTTTTGAAAAAAATTAAATATACTTAAATATATTTATAATTTTAATATTTTTTTTGTTTTTAATAATTTAAAAGCCTGAACGAATTTCAATTGCAAATTTTATTAATCGTTAATTTATTTCACATATATTAATAATTTAAATACATAGCATGTTATGATATATAATATTTTATTACTTTTTACTATAATCCCATCTTGATGTGAATCCAATTGAAAATATCTGATATTTATTTAAAATATTTATATATTACAAATCCAATCATCATATTAGCTGATTTAAAAAAAATTTTAATATTTGATAAAATCATTAAAAAATAAAGAATATATTCTAATTAAAGCGAAGAAATATAAATTGTTAATATATAAATATATATAATATTTGTGTATTAATAATTAATAAAAATAATAGTTAATAATTTGTTAATAATAATAAATAACTAGTAGATTAGTAGTTAATAAAAATTATTAACGCTAATTATTATAAACGCTATACTAAAAATTTTAATATTGAAAAATATTGAAAATTTTTATTGATCCTAATTTTTTGATTATAATTTCTGATTATATATCATTTTCAAAGATACTTACATTTCTAAACTCTTCATATAATATTCGAAATTTATATTCATTCAAATTATATTCATTATATTAATAATATATTCATATGACATCTTTGAAAAATTGATTAATTAAAGCTTATTTATTAAATTATAAACAATTGAAGTTTGCAAAATAAAATAAATAGATAAAGTGAGATGATTTTATCTCTGTTATACCATCTATCTTCATCTCGCTTCATCTTCGCAAATTTAAATTATTTATTAAAATAATCAATCAATATTTTTATATAATTAATATTTTCATGTTTATTTTAGCTTCTTTTATAATTGTTCAAAGATATCTCAGAAATATATTGACATTGTGTATATATTTAATAAAATAGTTAAATTGAAATTAGTAAAAAAAAATTAAAAAGTTACTACAAAACACAAGATAATGGAAGACATTTAGAAATGTAATGTAACATAAAATTTATCGATTAATATAATATTAAATTTGGAATAAAGAGATAACAACATAACATCAAATTTACCAATTATCAATATGACATCAAATTTAAATTTCCAGGTAATTTCAAGCAAATGGATAGAGGGATGGTACGAATGGAAGATCATGACACCATGGATGAAGTGTCTAATCGTAATATTACGCATGTTCACGCTTTTCGTGGTATTAGTAGTGATTCTGGTAGCTCCAAATTCTAAGAAATCGAAATTTTGGCAATCACCCGTGAACAAGTTCATCTCGTCAACCGCCAGCTACTTGTGGTTCCTCCTTATCGTTTTTCTTCAATCGAATATAGATAAAAGCGAGCAACTTCGTGGACCGCCAAATACAGGTATCATAACGATTATATCGAATATTCGAGGGCTGAGGAAAATAAATTTTTAAAATAGATAGAAAAATCAATATTTTCATTTCGTCAGGTACAGAATTTTTCAAATAAATTTTTCTTTGAAATAGTTCTCCAAGCATATATTTTCATACCAACTCATATAAGTACTGTTTTGAAACAATTATTTTATTGAAATATGAAAAAGTTATGTATGAAGTAATAATATTTCGAAAAGATAATGTCTAACTTTAACATTTTATAGTACAACATATGTACAAAATATTCCAGAAATCAACTGATGAAGCTTGACTATAATAATTTCTGAGATGATTTCAAGCAATTTTTTTCTTTGCAAAAATTTTTTGTTTTATTAACGAGTTATTAAGGAAAAACATTGGCTAATTACAGAGCATATAGATCTGTTGCGCCTCAATCAACAAGGCTCTAATTTTCATTTCGGTTTTGTTAATGAGAAACATTGATCAATCGCAGAGCATGTAGAAATGTTGCGATGATAGATAGCGTTGGGTATGCGCTGTTGGCAAGTCGCAGAGTTTGAACAAATAGTCAATATCAAAACAACATATGTCGAATCTAGCAATTTATTATTGGTATATATCTAATCACTCTGTGATTAGCTAATACTAATAACTCATTAACAAAACTGAAACGAAAATTTAAGCCTTGTTTGTGATTGTGATATATATACACGCTCTGTGATTGGCCAAATACTGTTAATAATTCATTAACAAAATTAAAACGGAAATTTTCATAAAAGAAAAAGTTGCTTGAAATTATTACTCAAGAATCATTAATTAAGTTTTTTTGTTTGTTGCCTTCTGACATATTCTATATAACAAGGCATATATTTATATATTAAATTCTAAATTTTTCTATTGAAATTTGTGTTTTTTATTTTTGATTATTATAATAAAATATTATAATAATATTTTTTTATGATTTATGTATTAAACAAAATAATGCTTTCACGTATAAAATTTGACTTAAGCATAAAATGAAATGATATTTTAAGCGTTATATGAAAATAATATTTTTAAATTTAGTATTTGTTTATGAAAATATTTTAGTTTTTGATGGTTTGTGTCAAACTATTTCAAATTTTCCCCAACCCTGCTATTGAAAGATCAAAACATAAAGAAAGAAATCGAACAATTCCTTCGACTTCTGACTTCAAGGTGCTTCTTCGGTATATGTCTGGCTTTTGATTGTTTACATCACGTCATTCTCCTGGGGATTGATTCGTCTTTGCATTATACACGGGCCGAAGAGGTTTTTCGCGGTACCTTGGTATTGGTACGATCTCCATTATTAGGTGTGACGATAAAAGTTTTGAAAGTAAATTGTGATCTGGATTTAACAGTTTTAGAATAGTAAATTTTCGAAAGAATAATTATTTAAAATAGAGACCATCTCATCGCATTTGAAATTAAATTCTTGATATATTGAACATTGATGATATCCTTGAAATTTTTCTCAAAATTATTATTTTAAAATTTGAAATATTTCTTATAGATATTGTAATTATAGAAGAAAGGAATATCTATTGATGTGTCCTTTTTTTTTTGATAAATTGTAAACTTTGAATCATTTTAAAGAATTTCATAAACAGTTGATAAGAGCAATTACTATTCTTTTTATTTATTTTTACTGTTGTTTTAAAGCAGTAAAAGTTCTATTATTTTTTAGAAAAATATTATATATATTGGAATTGGCATTAAAACAATATGCAAATTGTTGACAATTTTATTATTTAAAAATATGAAAATATTTTACATTCTTGTACAATTATAGTACTTTCCTTCATAATTAAGCATGTACAATAACTCATGAAAATATTTTTTCATTTTTTAATAAAATGTTAATAAAATTTCATTAAAATTATTAAATTTCTTTATTTTTAATAAAATTTTATGAAAATGTATAGAATATATTTATGCATATATGAAACAAGTTTTTTTTACCGAAATATCATTTTAAAAAAACAATATTCATTGTCAGTTTCAATGAATTTTTTCGCTTTTTTAAATATAACTTTATAATGTTGTGAAATAGAGAAAAATTTTATATTATAAAATATTTTAAAATTAGTTTTATCTATTTCTTTTAGATAAAATATTTTCAGATAAAATCGTCATTTAAAATATGAAAAGATGTTAAAATTTAAAAAAAAAATTGTTTCAATTTTATCAAAATTTCATATCAAAAGATTTTTTGTTGACAAAAAAATTACTTTATAATTTGTTATATTCTACATAATAAATATGCCAAATTTTATTAAAATAAGAATTTTTGAATTAGATAAATTTTTTTATGAGATAATATTCAAATTCTTTTGTCGAACTTTGTATAATAATCGCTCTTAGTTTTTGAGTTATATATAAAAATATTTTTAATATTTATAATTGAGATGGTTCTTATTCTAAATAATTACTGAAAATTTGCTACTTTAATAAACAATTTAAAGTTTAAAAAAGAATTTTTAAGGAAAAAAATATTTAAGTAATTTAAAATACAATTTTAAAAAGTAAGTAATTAAAAATATTAAAAATTTTTTTCACAATTTTCAAATATTTTCTAATTTATATATATCTTATGTTATTTTCTTTTATATTTATTTTTTATATTTTTATTATTTATTTTAATATTTGAATTTTTGTTATCAAATATATTATTATATTATAATATTATATTATTAAAATAAATATTGAATTGAAAATATTATCAAATATTTTAATTTTTTATTTTTATTATATTAATAAGTATAAAAATATATAAATAAATGTTATAATAATTATAATAAATATAAAAGTTTTCATGATAATTTGGATTTTATTCAATACATTTTTTTATAAATTTCTTATGCTCTTAATAAAATTCTTATTCTCTTTAAATATTTTTAGAATAGAGAATAATTTTACTTATATAAAATAAAAAGCAATAATTTTAAATCATATTATCTTTAAATGAATATCTTATTATATTATATATATTTTATTATCTTATATATCTATATTTTAATATTATCTTTTTTAACAATTAATGAATTTAAATTGAAATTTTCAATATATATAAAAGATAAAATAACAAATTTAAATTCATCTTTTTAAAACATTTTAAAAGTTCATATTCTTTCTATATATCAAAATTTCAATTATACTAATAATAGTAAATAAAATAGTTTATTTTATTACTATTATTTTATTTACTATTATTTTATTTTTTGAAATTTTATTCTAATTAAAATAATAGTTTTTTCAATAATTTTTATTTTTTTGCTACAATTTTACATTGCTATTTATTTTAGCTAATATGAATAAGTTATCAAAATAATTATTTTTATAATTTTATAAGATTTCACTATTATTTTCATGCTAGAATTTTTATTTTAAAGCGAGAACATTTCATCGATGACAGGTTCGAGATGATCATGATATTCCTCTTTATTTTGACCTTCCTATATTGGATAACGGCTGCACTGGACGTGAAAATAAATGGACAACTCGAGTTGGAGAGGAAATATTGGAACATGTATGATCCCACATTGATTGCCGAAGGAATTTATTGTTTGGCAACAATAATGGCTTTCTTGAAATTATTGTATATCTGTCAGCTGGACTACCATCTGGGACCACTTCAACTTTCCCTTGTTAAAATGATCAAGGATGTTCTTAAATTTATCATTCTATTCACCATAATCATTCTTGCATTTTCTGCAGGTAATATATGAAATTTGTTATGATATTTCTTCGTTTGTTGATACAAAGCTTTTTATTTATCAGTTTTTTTATTTACAATTGCAACATGTCCAACTTTTTAAAACTATTGACTTATAATATTTTTTAATTATAAGTTCTTGTATAAATCATAATTAAATAATCTTTAATATATATATAAAATAATTATTATAAATACTTTATAATATGATAATATCCCACAGTAATTACATTTTATATCCGCTTAATATATTCGAGATCGCATTAAAAATCAAATTGATTTTAGATAAATACTTGAAAAAATAATTGAAAAAATAAGCGAAAAATTCAAAGTTATGTTGTACATATTAACAATACTTATACTGAACACATATGAAAAAAAATCGAAAAATTGTTTCTCATCTTTTCAATTGTTTCACATTTTGAAAAAGTTTATAACACAATCAATCTGAACAGAATAGAAAATCTTCATAACATACGTATATATACACACATACATATATCGCTAATCTTGAATGTGTTAATTCGCAAAATTATTCTTATGAATTTCTGGAATTGGAATATAATTTTCGAAATATATATGCTTCTAAAAACTTAAGATTAGGATATCGAAAAAGCTGCGTTTTCATTACATTTGTTAATATTTGATATATCTCTATTTCATCGATAATGAATATCCAACTTGTCAATACGACAAAAATGTTCAGTTAACTTAAACTGCAGCTATATTTGTGATGTAAAAGGAAAAAGAATATTATTAGATTAAAAAATAAAGATTTTTGTAGTTCAACTTATGCAGTAAAAATATTTTACTGCATTTTGATGGATGCGAGTGATTTTATTTTATTTATTTTTTAATTTTGGATCATGTTAACTTAATCTCGATGGTTTAATGATAACTTACAAAAAAATTTATTGTCAATCACATATTTCCAATTCTTTTTTTTTTTCTTTTTTTTGATATTTTTTGATTTCAGTAAAAACGACTGCTGTTCGATCCATGCACAAACTTGTTTGCCATAAAGCCGAGCGATATTTCTAGTAATAACTCAATAACGCAATAACGCAGGAGACAGTTTACATGTTTTTTTAACGTTCGTTATAGTATTACGCTGTAAGGCATTAAAAATAGCTATATAAGTTACGTTTATATATTTTACAATATATAATACTATGTTGATTGGATAATAAAATATTCATTTTTTGATGTTCGTTCGTGACTTTAATTTAAAGCAATCTATATATATTGAAAAATTGCAATATAAACATCGATTTAACAATGAGTTTAAATTAATAACTCACATATCAGCTGAAAAATCGCTTCCAATGTTATATGAGTTATTACTTAAATTCATCGTTTAATCGATGTTTGCATTGCAATATGTTTTAATACCTATAAATTGTTTAAAATATAGGTTATAAAATAAAATACGAATATCTTTTTCTATTTCAATCATAAGAATATTTTTTTTTGTTTTTACGATTCAGAGAAGCAAAACCCAGAAAAAAATTGCCAAACAAGACTTTAGATTTTCAATATATAATATCACATTTTCATTTGGGAGTAATAGAAAGAGAAAAATTAATTAGGGAGCAATCAGGATAGAAATTTCTATTCGATTGCTCGGATAGAATATTTTTATTACTAAAATAGATCAATTCTCATGTGAAAAGCAGCGAATTTCTGAAGTAGTACATGACATCACATTATTATCCCTACTACCGTTGCTGCATTAGGCAAAGATGTGTCACGTGACCAGATTTCTGTCCAAGCCAAGCATCGCATCATGTTACGTGACATGCCTCTGTCTAATGTAAAAGTAATATAGGATAATGTGATGTCACGTATTCGTTTTATGTAGAAATTTTCGAGAGAGGAATGGAACTACTTTTAGTGGTAAAAGAGGTTGTATATTGTCTGGCAACTTTGAAGGGGATAGACATTACACAATTGCTATGCTATCTACTGAAATGCGTGTTTTAAAATATGTTTTTACGCAATAATAAATTGTGATTTCAATCGTAACATTAAATGTCATGATTTTCGTCGTTGTTGTCATGGCATTGAATTTATTACATATAGTGTCATACTGTCATATAATGTTACGAAAAATCGTGACATTTAATCGTAATATATTGTATAAAAATCTTAATATATGCGTTCTGATAGCAAAACAATTAACCGCTTATTATTCCTTCCTAGTTCCTCCCTAATTAGCTTTATTAGCCTCAAGGCAACGTTTTATTAGCTCTTTTCTCTACTCGCAAATATCACATATTGAAAATGTAGAATCTTGTCTGGCAATATTCCTATGATATTAATTATCTGAATTATTATTTTATGTAAATTTTATTTAATAGAAATTAATTGTATTTAAATAGAAATAAATTAATTACAGATTAAATTAAAATTAAAATTAAAATTAAAATCAAAAACTGAACAGAATAAAGTAAAAGAGGCGAACACGTAAAATGGATGTGAAGCAGAGTATTAATATGTATAGGTATTAATGATGAAAAAGTAACTAATGAAAATTTTGAATAAGTAATAACTTTATTTAAAATGCTTGAATAACATTTTTATTTATAGTTTTCAGTTTTTTAGGCATTAGAGTTATTTCTGATTATTCGATGTTTTGAATAATAAATTATCAAAGTAAATTGTTGAAGTAATTTTATTCTTATCTTGAATAGTTAAAATTTCTGACATGAAAAATAAATACTATTTCAACAAAGAAAAAATATATAAGACAAGTATCCAACTTATGTTTTATAATTTAAAAGGCTTTGTCGTGAATCTTATTCTCGTGAATTTCAAATTCGCAATATTTAAAATTTCTATTTTGCAAACTTTAGTCTAACAGCTAAAATAATCGTTCACCTTTAAGTGCTGTGTTTATCTTTTCGAATGTTCAATGCATTTCGATAGTAGAATACGATCGATCGCAAAGAACAATGATTGGCGACGCCATAATCAAATCTTGATTGAAAAAAAAATTGTTATTCTCACTTTAAATTAATCAATTCGTATTCCAAATAGAAATATTAATATTAATTTTCTGTGCAAACAGTTGCACAGTTTTAATAGTTGCAAAATTAAAAAATTTCAAAATCAATTTAAATTTGATTTAATTTGATAGTTCTGTTTCGAGTTCTTTGATTTGATGATAAATATCTTTAAATAATAGAAAAAAATAGAAAATTTAATTATGAAACAATGAATAAAATGATGATATAATATTTTGAATCTTTTTTTCTCTAGCAACATGCAGACTTTATCAATATTACGAGGATATGGTACAAATCGATGATGAATCAAAGATCAAGACCCAACAGGTCAACTCGTTCATCAATTTTCCAACCGCCCTGAAGACCTTTTTTTGGGCGCTTTTTTGTATGAGTCCTATCGAAAGCGCTGATGTGATAATTGAGAATCTTCCTGGAGAAACAGAGAACGAAACTATCATCAATCATCATTCATTCACTGAGCTTATTGGATATATATCCTTTGCCGGTAATAAATTCACTTAAATTCCATTTCTCTTAAATATTGGAAAATGCAAAATATAATATATTCCTTATGATTTTAAATTATGCTTTTTTTTATATAAATTTAAATATATAACAAATTTAAGTTTTTTATATAATATTGCAATTACTCTATTCAATTTTTATACAAAAAGTAAGAAAAGTATAAGATAAGTATAAATAAGATTGCAATTTTTTTATCTTTTTATCTTTTATCTTCGAAAAATTCAATACAACGTTTATATCAATTATTTAATCATTTAATCGCTAAATCGTTATTTTTCATATTTAATTCTAATTGAAATTTAATTAAATGGAATAAAAAAAAAGCTAAAGCTAAAATAAGAAAGAATAATTAAGTACAAAAAATTCTTGTTTTTTAATTAATGAATATCATTATTTTCATTATTGATGTAAATATATGCGATTGTTGTTGCATGATAATGTACCTGCATTGCACATCAATACAATTTTTTGACTTCATAATCAAAATTAATTGAAAAATATGTTGAAAAATAAATAATTCCAATTTGACATTCAACAAAATATAAACATTATATTATATTTTTTGAAAATTATTTTGGAAAAACAAATATAAAATTTGCAATCTTATGTACAATTATTTTATATTTTTATAATCTCCAATTATTTCTTACTATATATTTAGATTTAGATAATATAATAAATATATAAATATAAATTTATATTATAAATATATTTATATTTATAAATATATAAATATAAATAATTTTATTATGACTGTATAATATTCTTGATATATGATAATATAGCATTTTTGATATATGATAATATAATGTGATAACTTTAAGTAATTTATAAATTATCATATGCTGTATAAAGAATGTTTCATATAAAAATTGCATATAATATTATATAATATAATATTTTATCATATAATATTTTTAATACGTTTTGCAAATATAGAATATATAGAGCATAAGATGTGAACTTCATTTTTTTAAAAAGAATCATATATTTTTTAATGCAAATTATTACAAAAAGTAAAAAAATTTATAATATACTTATAATTAATTATTAATTTAGGAAATTAAAATTATTAATTTAGGAAATATTTTAATTTTAATTTTTTGTATTATCTAAAAGATAAGAAAAGCATAAATGTAAGTCGTTTCGCTTATAGTTTTATAAAATTCAAATTAAATTTTAAATTTTTATAAGAAATAATAATTTGCAGTGATTAGAATATTAAAAAAAATACATACTTTTCTTTTTTTTTTTATAAAAACAACTTTCATAAACATTTTATAAATCAACTTTCATATTTCTTATGTATTTACTTGTGAAATAATTAATAACGCTAAATTAAATATGTACTATGCAACTATAACAGTTTTTAATACAACGCATAATTTATGATTTAATTTATATTTAAAGTGATCACATTACATAATTCAGCCAATATTTATATTAGTGTATATATATATATATGTGCAGGTATATTGTAAAAATATTATTTATCTAAAATATATCTAAATTAATATATTCCAAATGTAATATATGAAAATTTTTTTTCAGGATTCACTTTTATTTCTGTCATCATGATTTTAAACATGTTGATCGCTTGCATGTCTAATACAATGACCAAAGTCACAGAAAATGTACTTGTGGAATGGACATTTGGTCGAACTGAGGTTCGAATCATCAGAAATAATTATTCTATAATAAAAAAACAAATATTAATAATAAGTATATAAAGACTTTAGAATTTACAGATATGTGATTTTCAGACTTATGTCGATTTTATGCTAACAACCACTCTTCCGCCACCATTCAATATTATTCCAACGTACGTTGGTATTCAGCCAGTGATCGAGTATGTAAAATTATTATTGAAACCACCACCAGATAAACGAGCACGATGGGACATGAAACACTGTTGTTATATTGTTAGTGTTACTCTTAAAACTCATTACTATGAAACATTCATATAATTTTTTTAAATTTTTCTATGTGGTGAATTTCAATATTTTTTTTTTAATATAAACTAGATATTTAACAATACATTTCAGAATAAATAAATTATAATTACAATATTGATTTTATTTAATTTTTTATAGTAAGTTTAGTAAGAAAATACTATGTTAATAATATTATAAATTCAATATAATCATAAACATAATAAAAATAATACGCAATTGTTGAAAAAGATAAATGGAACGATATATATATTGAAATAAAATAAATTAGAATGAAAGATAATCGATTATACAAAAAAATTATATTAAATTTGAAGAAAATTTGTAAAATTTATATAAATTTTAAATTTATAAATTTATATAAAATTTGTATAATTTATAATAGCAAAAAGAAAGAATTTTTATAAAAAAGATATTAAATATTTTATCTAAAATATTTTAGGAAAGATATTAAATATAAACTTATATTAAATTTTATATTAAAAAAAATAAATTTATAAATTAATAAAATTATATTTAAAAATTAACAATTTATATTTATAATTATGAGAATATAATATACGTTCTATAGGATTAATATATTCATAAATGCAAAAATATTGATTTGGTAAATTGGTAAATTAATTGATAAATTATGAGTAATTGAAAATTATTAGATGAAGAAAGTGAATTCTATCTCTATCTTATTTCAACAAATTTATATTGCTTATAATTTATAATAAATAAACCTTAATTGACAATTTAATATAAATTTTTGTATATTTACATTTATTTTAGCTTTTAAAATCGAATTTTTAAAAGTATTCCACAAATATATTATTATTTCGTATACATATAGAAATATAATTACATATATCTAGTTATTTTCATGATAACATTTTAATTACACTTAAATATATAAAATTTTAATCTAATTATTTCATTAAAATACTATTCTAATTTTTATTCCCAATAAATTAAATTCATTTTCATAATATTGTTTTTTCATAAGAAAAATTTTTTTCCCCATATAAACGATGAATCAAATAGCTTTGAATATATGTATAAAATAAAAAAGAAGTTGAATAAACTTTTTATTTCACTACATATTATAAAAATCGATGAAAAGAAAGATCAATTTTAAAATGCATCATCTTTTTGATAGGAAACTATAACGGAGGATAAAAACGTTAAGTTTTCCTTAGTGATGGCGCAGCTGGTGCAACGTTACTTCCGACAAAAAGAGAAAGAGATGGAAGAGAACGAAATAGATAAGCTCACGAAAGAAATCGTCGAGTTGAGAAATCTTTTGAGGGATGCTCTCACTACTATATGAAAAAATCAAGCGTCGCGAAATTAATTACAAAGAGTTTCTTCGAGAATCTTACGATTACTTTAGCGCTAAATAAACACATAGTGGCGCCATCTCCTATTCGTTTTTACGCAACGCGTAGAAATTGGATATGCATAATGATGGAATTTAAAATGCTTCGTATCGTTTGAAGAATAGGTATCGTATATCAAAAAGTAAATTCGAATCGCTTAATTCTAAATTAAATCTAAAAATTCTTTTTTCTTTTCGAAAAGATCTCGAAAATTTTGAAAATCTTGATTATCTTAGAAGTTTAGAAAATCGTGTTTGATTTTTGAAATTTATTTTGTTTCATTTGTCTACTATTTCATTTTTTTTTTTTTCAGAATTGAAACAACAATCTAATTTTCGAGAGAAAAAATGAAAAGTAAGTGAGATAAAATAACTCTTAAAAATTTTAAATATTATTTCCAAGGCTTTTCAAGAATTTATAAATTTCAATGTTCGAAATGGTTCGGATTTTTCGCAATTTTATAGATTCATGATAAATTCAGTTTGAATTTCAAAAGTAACCTCTAGATTTGAAATGTTTCAAATATTTTAAAATGTTTCGAATGGATATTGTGTATCAAGATAAATTCAAATTAATTTGATTCTTGAAAATCTTGCAAATCTTAATCTTGGAAATTTTTAATAAATTTGAAATTATTTTATTTTACTTGCATTTATTTTCTATTTTTTACTTGTCTAAAAATTAGCCAATGTTAACATTAAATCAAAGATAAGAATGAAAAAAGAAGTTAAAATAAAACAGAATAACATTTAAAAATTTCGAATTTGGAAAACAAAATAATATTCGAAAAATAATTAATTTTTTTTATAGAATATTAAGCATCAATATAATTCTATTTAAAAAAATAATTATTTTTTATCTTAATCTGTATATATACAAAAAACTTAGCAACATTAGAATTTATAGAATTCTATAAATTATGCGCATAAAATTTTTCGCTACAATTAATAATAATGATGTAAATCAAATGAATTACTCTGTATAATAGTTAGTATATAACCAAGAATATTTAATTTATTATTTAATCAAATATAAACTAATAACATTGTTTTTATTAAAACAATGATGACTGGTTAATTTCAAATATAACATTATTCATATCAAGAATTAACAGAATTTGATTTTATCATGTTATATTTATAGAAAAATAATTCAAATAACTGAAGTAAAAAGATAATAATAATAAAAAATAATTTAAATAATGCATAATTAAATATAAGCATATTTCATATTATTAGTTAATCAATCACGTAATGCTAATATTGCGTCACAATTATGTATTAAAACTGATAATTATGAAACAATGTTATTTGAAATATTATTTCAAATAATCTAAAATAATTATTTCAAATTATCAATTAAATAATCATAAAATACATTTAAAATAATTATAAAATACATGTTTGAAATGATATTTTAAATAATGTCAAGTTAGTTTATAACTGGCAATAAATCTGAAAAAGATTGTGAAATAAAATAATATGTCATTTGAAATAAAATTACTTTAAATGCATCTAGATCAAAACAAGATTTTCAAAACTTCAAAAATGACTATATATATACAACTTCAAAAAGTTTTTGAGTTTCAAATTCGAAAAATAATTCAATTTAGGATATTTTAAACATTTAATGCGATTCGAAACGTTCAAAATTCCATCACTACGCGTAGATATAAAATGAATACGCGTATTATGAAAAAAATAATTCTTAAGATCTTGAAATAATTAGTTGAAAGATTATATAAAACGAGATGTCCACTTTTTCCGAGGCATATGAACTAGATTTCAATTGAGGATCGAAGAAAAAGGAAATCGCGTGAGAACGATACAATTGCAATTGTAAGGAGCTTGGAACGTTCCTTAAAAGTGGCAGAAAGAAATTTCTTTCATTTTTATCGTTCTCCTTCGAGGAATTCTGGATTTTTATTTTCTCTTCCTTTATTCCTTGAATAATTAATATACCGTTTAATACGTTTAATCTATGGGAGATTTAAATTTTTTGTCTTATTTTAATCCTCCTCGTAATAAAAATTGAAATAAGAAATATAAATAATAAGAAATGATAATTGGAATAAGAAATAAAATAAAAAATAAATAAATAAATTAAAATAGATGTAGAGATTAAAATTTTGTAAAAATTAAGACTAACTGTAACATATGAAATTATTGTAATAAATTCTATTAAAATATTTTTATGATCATTTAATATAGTTTTAAAATTTATGGATGAAATTCATATTTTTAATAGTAAAGTAAAAGACTATGTATTTTTTATGAAGACAACTGACATGTTAAAGATTAATTAATAAAGCATAAATTCGATGCTGTTGTTATATCTTGTTTCAGGAAAATATAAATTTTGTATCACTATGTGATATTTTCATAATACGAAAGCAATAAAAATATTATTGACTCTATGATGAAAATGTAGATTCGTTCAATATGCATCGTACACAATTCTGTTATGAAAGATAATGAAATATTATTAAAATATTTTCAAGTAAATCTGTATATTTATTATTCTTCATATTATGAAATATTATTTTTCTGATTTCTTTTTATAATTTTTTAATATCATTATTTTCAATTTAAATATTTTTATTTGCAGAAATATTTATTAATCAATAATTAATAATTAGCTACAATACACAATATTAGGGAATATTGTTGTTGAATAATTTGATTAAAATAAAGGATATACAATAAAAAAGAATATTTAATAAAAGAAATAGGAATAAACTTTGTTATATAGATGTGGATCATGCCGATGCCTTTGTTCTACTACGCTGAGCTCACTATGTCACGTCGCATGTCGGTCAAAGAGGGGAACAAACAAAACAAAATCGAAACAGCGATTGCTTTTAGTGACGCCCAATTCACATAAATATACAAGATATGAGTTACACTTTTACACATATAAACTTTCTCACTCGAATATCTTTATAAAATTATATCGGATAAATCTACATCGTTTTTAATATCCGAGATAATAAATTCTGAAATTTTTACTTTTATAACGGATCGACTAATTATTTATCAATTTTAATATATTTAACATTTATTTCTCCTATTCTGTGTTTTTCATAAGTAAAATAATACTGTGTATCTATATGTTTAAATTTTTTTATTCTGGATTTGTAACTTTAGATTTTTTACTAACAAACAATTGCAGTTTGATTAATAATAAATCGGCGTTGGCAAATTTTGAAAATAATTTAATTTCGCAAGAATTCGTCTCAAGCATGTTATTCTTTTGTTGTCGAATACGAAGCTATAAATTCCGTCTCAGTTGCTGAGATAGGAATCGTTGATTGTTTACGTTAAACCATGCTATCTCCGTTCAAATCCATTCGCTCTATATCGTCTACCTAATCAAAGTCACAATATACAATTCAAATTAAATCTTTTGACGCTTGACTATAAAATTATAATTTATTGTCCCTTTTAAGTATTTAAATACTTTTTAATTCCATTTATCGTTTAATTTCATTCCAGTGATTTCTACTTGGTTTCTCTGCAAATTGATTTAACACGTTTACAATGCTAAATCAGATCTTATAATTAAAAACATTAACGAACCAATTTTCTGTAAGGAAATGATTCAACGTTCTTTTCGTTTGTATCAGTGATTTTATTAAATTTGACATTAGGATCAGCAA